AGGGGGGGGATGGGGGGGGGGAGAAATCGCCCCGCTTTCGAGCGAGAGAGAGATGCGTGTTTGTGAGACAGACAGACAGACAGAGAGAGAGAGAGAGAGAGAGAGAGAGAGAGAGAGAGAAAGAGGGAGGGTCACGGGGGAGAGAGGGAGATATATGGCAACACTGTGGAGACGTCAAAACAAATGTATCATGGTATTTCTACTTGTGGTCGAAAGCCGCCTTTGTCTTTAAAAACGTTTACGCCCCCGTCAAAAAAGCCTCAACCACTCATCTCATCTCGCGGGCGTTGTTGCGGCTATTTGGCAGGGTCGAAAATGTAGGGTCTCCCCCTGTTGTGCTCTTCACCACGGAATTTATCTGTCTGATGTCGAGATGAGCCAGGTGTGCCCTTGCTCGTTTGGTATCTTGCTTCCGAGTCTTCCTCCCCGCCTTCTGATTACGACGGCAAGTGTTTCATTTTTTTGGTAGCGGTGGCTTCTTTTTTCTTCAAGAAAGCTCTCTGCTGGCTGGTGAGCGCTCGCACAGCTGCACCGACCAGATGATTGATGTCTCCGGTTCAAGTTGAAAGGCGACTGATCCTACTAGCTTGGGGCGCGTGTGACGACATGTTACGAGCGTGTTCACCGTGGCCAAGGCCGATTAGATATGCTTCGTTCTCCGAGGCGAAGCAGGTGTAGGTAAATGGTACGAAGCAAAGGGTGGCGTTGTCTATCAGATGTAGAGCGAAGAAGCGAGAGCCCGGAGCGGCCCCCCTAGCGTTTTTCGTGGGTCATTACAGAGGTATGTATTGAGATGCTTGACACCTGCGCCGTGGGGATTTAATAACTTTGACACAGGCTGCGGAATTTTCGTTTGTTCTCTGTTTGGTTCGGAAGATCCCCCTCTTGCTACATGGAAGGATGTAGTACAAGGACGAGGAGGATTGATTGTGTTGACCGGGCGAGAGGGTTCGAGCAGGCCCTCTCCTCTTGTGGCCCGAGATCGTCGGCGTTAGGTCGGGGAAACCCCGAAGCGCTGTATCATAGGTGATAGCTGCGGGGGGGGGGCATATCAGAATAGATCCGTTGGGGAAAAGGTGGGCGGAAATAGAGTGAAGGATGCTTTGTTGTTAGTAATGTTGCATCCCTCCGCCCCCCCTTAACGGCGATGCACACATTCGACAACTATATATATGCCGGTGGCGATTGACCCCCCCCCCTTTCAGTGGTACGTATCTTTAACACAAAAAAGCCCAAGCACGTAGTAAGAGCAGGGAATGGCGAGGAACAGGTTAAGTGGTGCAGGCGCGGCGGTGTGTCTGTTCAATATTCATTGTTGATTGTGTCCTACTGTGGTTCCAAGTTAACATGTTGAACACGACATTTTCGGATGCCTCAGGCACACCTGGACTTGACACGTGGTGTTCTTTTGGTGCCCTCTGGTTGCATCCTGTTTCCTGAAGGTCGCTTCTTGCCGCATTTGCGCAAGTGTTTGGTGCACGAAAGCGTCGTCGTGTATCCTGAGCGACAGGCTTCACGACACAGCATATACGCCGGTTCTCTGCGGAAGTGTGGCTTTTGTGGGGCCCACCTCGGAAGCTCTAGACTACACCGCACGAGTACCAGAACCCGCCCCATAAAAAAACATTGCCAACGTAATGCAAATGAGGTGCATCATTACAGAGGTACTCCTGAGGGGCTCCTTGTTGGGACAAAGTTCAGTCTCCCCCTTGAGACAGAGCTATCCGGGTGGGAGGGAGACATCGAAACATCCACACCTCGTCGACAGGCTCCTGAAAACGAATGAATCACTTCGGTTCGTTGTAGCAAGTTTCGCGTGAGCAACCCCCCCCCCGGCTTGATTTCTTGTGTCGACAACCGCATGATACACTTAACACCTCCACAAGCAAGCACATCCCACCCCGAGATATGCGGTCGCTTTCGTGGACACCATGTATTCCGCCCCGATCTGGCTTTGGGCTTGTCTTCCAACGCGCATGCGCGTTGCCCCGCGAAAAGAGAGCTTAACCTATTGAGAGCAAAGCGGGTCGCACAAGTTGGCACAACACAAAACTCCACACGTTTCAACAAACACTCCTTCCCCTCCACCGCCCGCACTCCATTCGCGACGCGAACATCAGAGTGGGACACATCGTGGTCCTCCACCGCACCCTATCAAAACCTCAGCAAGGCGAAGCGCGAGTGGACCTCCCCCCTCCCCCCTCCCCCTTCCCCATCCGCCTTGACACACAGCTTAAGGGTCGGTCTCAACGAAGAAATCAGATCTCGAAATCACATTCAGGTTTGGTTGTAAGACCGGAAGATCCACAGAACTTTTTCGTTGATTGGCTGGAATGTTACGGAACCCGTCGAATCTTTAGGACTTAAAACAGGACGACCCAAAACCAAATTGGGATTTGAAACAAGGTGAAATCATTTAATCGGATCCCGATTTGGGTGAACAGCGTCCATAGTTGCGGGACCACGGTCTACTCGCATACACGGCGCGTGCCCACGTACCCCCATCCACCGCCGAGCACAGAGGAAAGAAAGAGCACAAAAAGCCAACCCAAAGGGAGAGTGACTGCGCATCGTTGTTGCACGTGACTGGCGCCGAAAAAAAAACGTGTATTGGATGTGTTGGTCTGTAGGGCAATCTCCCGTGGGTTGTCGAACTTCAAATGCACAGACAAATTGGCGGTTTTCCGTCGGACGAGGCTCGATTCAAAGTGTCACATGCATAGACATCGTGTCAGTACCGCACAGAGGCCATGTACGCGTTTGGTGTGTGCTTGTCGGGAGCGATAGCTCCCCATGTGGTGTGGCCACGTCATAACAGTACGTCACAACAGCAATCTGGCAGTTGGCAAGCGGCGGACCTCTCGGGTTGTTCGCGGTGGACTGCAGAGATTCGTTTCCATTTGGCAGATCTCCACACAGGCCATTTCTGTCCGGATTTGGGTAGATCGACTCTTTTATTCTTACATCGAAATGTGATTTCGAGATCTGATTTCTTCGTTAAGATCGACCCTAAGAAAGCTCCCGAAGCGTTTCGGGAAGCACTAAACAAACCTTTCCAAACCAGGAGTGCTGAGCATCTGGGCCTAAGAATGACCGACGAACGGCTACAGTGGAACGGAGAAAGATTGGTGCCATTTGGCGCTCAAAAGCACTAGTGTACCGCGCTGCTCCGGCGATTTAGACACCGTCTGGCCCCCTCTCCACATACCGCCCGATCGAGACAAAAAAAATCACAATGGAGCACTCGGTTGGTCCACCAGGGAGACTGTTCCTCACCATTGGCACAAAAACCAAGCGATCTACGTACAACATGTACGACACAAACGCTCGCTCAAGCGTACGTGCAGCAGTCAGCCAAACGGACGAGCAGCGACCACGCCTCTAAAGCGCATTGAGGCGCGCGGAATCCAGAGTCCAGAGACTTGACGGATGGCTCCTGCCCGGACATGGCGAACACTATTGAATAACACTCGGTATCCAGGCAAAGAAGGCGCATCTGTGGCTTCCAAAAACGCAGACCAGTGGTGGTCCATCCAGGGGGTCACCCAAAGGGTAATATGGGGGGGGGGGAGGGGCGCAAGGCACCCCGTGAGGGCAAGGGGAGACACGGAACAAGGCACAGGCACCAGCAGAGATGAGGTTAGCGAGTGAAAAATTAAGGCAGGCGGATTAAGGCGGGAACGCACGTTGGGCGGCAAACAGCGCGAGTAGGGTGGGGAAGAACCGCTTAAAGTTGTCCCTCTCTTGAAAGAACGACTTCGCAAGCGGAGGGACGAGGGTAATCACCACGTTGCATCTTTCGACAGACTGATGTACAACATCGGCAGTTGTCGATCCAAGAGAGCTACATAACAAGACTGGGATGTCATGCTCGACGGGTGCAATCTAACCGTGCGAGCAAGCAGGAAAACAAGTACACACGGCACATCAGCGTACTCGCGTCCCTAATCCCGCTGTAAGACTGACGACTTAGCGCGGGTCAGCCGGTTTGCGCGGTCGATGCAAATAACAATCACGAACACACAACCCCGCTCACAGCAAATGCAGCGCTACCAAAGATCAGTCCGGTGCACAGACAGAGCCACGCTAAGCCAGCAACACCCAGATGGAGCACCCGTGGCAAAAAATAAACGAAAAAGGGAAAACGTCAAGGAAGCAACAAGCCAGAACCAATTCTGAGTCACCACAAAAATAATAAGAACAGAAAGCTGTGCCTACATGTACCGTCGCCACCGCCGCCGTGTCGTGCCTTTTACAGCGACCACGCAGCAGAAAACGATAAGCGGAGGGGGGGGGGTATGGTGACCTGTCTAACCCCTCCCACTCTCCATTCGACGGAACCCCCTCCCTCCCGTTCTCGCCCTGTCCTTGGCAGGTTGCGGGCGGGAGCAAGAGGAGAGGGGTGCGGGTCGCGTCGCCCACGAGCGACCGACCCGCGTTCTTAATCTCGCGCGCGTTTCCTTACCCCCACCCCACATGTCTCTGTGTGGTGCGCTCGACCGCAGCGCTAACTCAGTCACTCACTAGTAAAAACTATATATATAATGATACAAAACAACGGTGCCTACAGAGTGAGCGTGTTTGGAATAAGCATACTCCAACAAATGTGTGTAATTGGGGGAAAAAATGAGTGCAAGCAGCAGCTGCTACGGCCCTTCGTTGGTGTTCGGTTGTCACTGCTATCGGTGGTCATGAGTCAATCGATGAAAAACTGTTCCGATTCAAAACCGTCTGAGGTGAAGCAGCGGTTCTTGCAACCTAAACGACAAAAAAGAAAGACGACTCGAGGATGACGGCCCTCCACGATGCAAAAAAACACACGAGGAAACTCACCGTTTGGACGTTCACCAGCAAGCCAAGTTGCAGCCCTCTCCTGCAGCACGGGCTGTCCAAGACCAAGGGCCCTTTGACGCCGCCACCCACATCTTGCACCCACACACGAGAGAGACTCGTGCTAACGCCGCCCTCCGGGATGTGAAGAAGCAGGACCACTCCTTCGCTGGGCGGGCTTAACAAAACGCAATAATCTCACCCATCACCCTAAAAACACAAACAGCCAGATACGGCCCTCTCTCCCTCTCTCTCTGTCTCTCTGTCTCTCTCTCTGTCTCTCGCGGGCCATTTCCTTCGACTAGAGAGGAATCAAGTCAGTCAGCGACGCCGGCTTCCTTTGTATGCCCGCCCACCCAACCACACTTCCGTCCGCAGGAGACAGACACACATCAAAAAGTTCGACAATCTACACAAGGAGTGTCAAAAAAGATACGTGCAGCATGCTATTTAGTACATCCAAGAACGCCTGCTACTTGTCACGGAACTCCGCCTCCACAGGCTGCCCCCCCCCGGCTTCCCCTCTCGCTTTCTTCTTCGATCCTTGCGGCGAGGTCGACCTACCCTTGACCGTTCTCCTGGAGCGAACGCCGCTGGCCCCTTCTCCTACCCGATCGTCACCGGAAAAACTGTCGCTCGTTAGGTCAAACGTCCGCCCGTTGTCCAGCGTCACTACGGGTAGTTGTGTCGTCAATTTGGGGGCAGCGGCAGCGGTACGCAGGAGGGGGGGGGGGGTAGGAAAGCCGGCCATTTTGTAGAGTTGCGAACAAAGGTTGCGGTTACTGCCTGCTGATGAACAGCAGCGCAGCCTGCACGAAGCATGATTTTCTTGAGGCGAAACCGCCATTAATACAAGGACAGGCAGTACTACCGCAGGAATCGGAAACTCAGTCGAAGTTCTTTTCCTCTTCCCCGTATCTCCCGTGCTAACGCACCCGTCCAAGGCCGGAACAAGCCAACCTATCAGTCCTCTAAATCCCTCTACACCAAACGCCTGAAACACGCAACACAGCATTTCGATCAACAGCGAACAAAACACATTATTGAGGACAACGCATGCTTTCTTGTACTCTTTTCACAAAATCTAGCACACGAGAGTGTTACCCATGGCTTTCACCACGCACCAAAAATGCGGTCGAACTCCATCTCCTCCTCCTCCCGGCCCGCCCACTCTGTCACTTCCACCTCCGCCCACCCGGCGCCCGCCCTCCTGCCGGAAAACCTCAGCTTCGCCTTAACCACCCTCGAAGGCTCTCCCCCCCGCCTGTCGCCGCCGCCTCCTCCGGAGTTCCAAGAGTTGCCGCCGACAGAGGCTACGGTGGAGATCTCAATGTCGGAGAAGTTCTCGATGCCGCCCCCGAGGGCACTTGAGAGGCCCGGGTGCCGCAGCGCTCGTTTCTCGACCTCGCTGTATTTGTTGGTCGTGGTTGGGGGGGGGGGGGGGGGGGGGTCGAGGCGCGTGAGCAGCAGCAACCAGCGGCAGCGGCAGCGGGAGGACAAGCACGGAGCGAAGGGGTAGGGGGAAGGCAGCAGCGGTTGCGCACAGGGTGTGTATTTTGTGAGGGGAGAGGTGGGTGAACCGGCGGCAGCAGCGGTAGCAGCAACAGCAGCAACAGCATTGACCGCAGCGGTACACATGGCTAGTTGTAGCACAGGGGCACGGCAGTCTCTCCGATTGGAATGGCATAGAAAAAAAAAAGACAGCCAAAGCACAGCACAAAACCCGTACCAAAACAAGGGGCAAACTCGGAACGCGGGAACGCGGGCACCGGTTCATGTTGGCCCAGGACACTCAACATGCGAGCTTCTTGGCAGCGAGAGCACAAAACGTTTCCGTGCACAGCAAGGCTGCCGCAACACACGAGCCCGAAATAACATCCATGGGCGAGGGCCGCAAAGTACAGCAGCCTACACACGAAACAAGCTCTCCGACTCTCTCGTGCTGCGTGCGAGGTTCACAAAAGTAGTTGATCGACTGGCCGACGAACCATAAACCGTGTCCCACTATCTCGAAGCGTGCACGGAAAACGGCCGCGAACAGTTTGTTTGTCGTCAGCACGCCGTCAGACAACCGGCCCGGCACAGAGGGGCCAACTCCAACTTGCCACACGCGCGTTCGTACGATAGATTCCTCAAGACAAACCAAAAGCTCCTTCCCTTTCCCACCCACACCCGTCCGTGGACAGACAACCCGTCAAGTGGGCCGCACAGACTCAGGGAGTCACCGAAACACAGCTACATCCACCCAACCCCCCAACCCGACCAAAAGGACGACCGTTGTTCTCTGGACGGGGGGGGGGGGGGGGTGTACTCATAGTCGTGCATGCCGTAGTCGTTTGACCATTGACCTCGCATCCCTACAAAGCCGGGACGGAGCATGCCGGGTTCTCACCGGACCAGGCTCTCACATCACCAAGCGCGAAGCGCCGTGAGGTATTTGGCGAGTCGCATGAAGGGTGCGTTGCATCCTGCTAAGGGTGTTCGGCATCTTGTGCTTACTTCCTTGCGTACGGATGACAGCTACATATGACTTAATTTATTTTCTGGTGCTTTCACTTCCAGAGACAGTTGTAAGCACTGTGTAACTGCCTCGAGGAAGCTTGACCATTTTAACACAACGTGGTGCGATCATCCCCCGTTGCGCGGAGTGAGGGTTCTCGACCCCGCACATCATGATCTACTCGACCACCATTATGGTTACCGCCAAAAAAAAAACGAGGTAAAAAAAAAAAACGGTAACCTGGTTGCCGAGTTCACGAAGTGAATTGGCTTGTTTTACAACGTCGTTGCCAAGCGACGAAAACCCAACCCCGATGGCAAACACCGAGTGGGGGGCTGGTTTTACAACGTCGTTGCCAAGCGACGAAAACCCAAACCCCGATGGCAAACACCGGGGGGGGCGGGGGGGGGGGTACAGCAGCAAGCGCGGCCATTCATCAACAGGGTGCATACTGCAAGGGGGCGACTCAGGACGAGACGGGACAATTTACGGGAGCGTGTTGCCCCGCGAACGCATCCGAAGGCGAACCGCGGGGGATCGCGCCCGGGGCGACCACCGACAGACACACAGATCGATCATGGCCTTCAGATTAATTCCTTCAACCGCACTGAGACTGACTGACGCCTTTGTAATGGTCAGCCGGGGTATGTAGCGCGGTCGATGCTAAAAAAAAAAAAAAAAGCGCGGGCACGCGCGCGCGCAACCGATGTCTTCACACACGCACCTGCGAAGGACTCCCACCAGCTGCATGCCGCGGATTCCGCCCCCCAGCATCCGCGCAAAGAGAGAGGACAGTGCCCCCTCGGTTGGAGATCTTTGCATCCGCGGGGTGCCCCCACCCCCTCCCATCATCGGACCCCCCAAACCGCCGCCACCGAGACCCCCACCGTGAGAGCCCCCTCGCTCCGCCATCTTCTGGGCCAATCGGGCGACGAGATTCCTCGACATTCCGCCGCGTTGGAAATTCCGCCGTAAAAGAAACAGGCCGATGCCGACGAAGGGTAGAAGGAGCAGCGTGATCGCTTTGGCAGGCGTAGGAAATTGCGGTAAAAGGAGCGGAGGCGGTGGGAAGCGGGGATACGGTGGGGACTGTGTTGATGGGGAGGGATAGGAAGCGGGGGAGAGCGCGCGGTAAATAGCTTCTCGTATGTCCAGGGCTCGCTCACCATTTTTTTCAGGGGGGCTTTGTCTCCCTTTCGTGCTGTCGTCATTCAGGTCCTACTCACAGGTTACATATTACTGCCCAAAGGCCGGGAGCCCTGGACTACCCCTAACAAGCTGGCGACAAAACGCCCCACGGGTCCAACGTTTGTGTTGATTTCTTCACGCCCCCTTACCACGCTAAGTGACATGTCGCTGTGTGTCTGTGGTAAGTGCCAAGTCTCAGCTGCTCGTCTACTTCCCTGCGGACAGGTACATGTATGCATACCACCAGAATCTTACGTGCTACAACATACAGCCACATCGTAGGTGACGTAAGATATCACACCCAACCGATTTTCAAAGCTCGACTACTCCACGACCACGAGGACGCAAGAATGAAACCAAATGTTCTCGGAAAGCTCTCGACGAGGCAGCTTCACAACGCCGCCGTTTTCGGGGCTGCCACTCTTTCTGCTGGGGAAAACAAAGCTTTGAAATCGATCCAGAGGGGGGTGATATCTGAAAACTCTGGGGGATTCCGGTGGTCACAGCCATGACTCACCTCCAAAAACTAGCCCCCAAGCAGCAAGAACAACCACCACCAAGCCAGCGAAGATCCTCTCCGGGAGACGGCGTCCTCCTCGCCCTGCTGTGCTAAGCTGGCGGCGTGCGCCTGCTGTTGTTGCACTACACGGGGATGTTGACGGGATCGACATGGGACGCGCTGCTGCTGTTGTGCGGTTGAAAAGGACATGGGCAGAGCTGCTGCCACCGCACCCGATAATAACACCCTGAGCGTAGGGTAGTCTTCGCTTCGCCGTGCAGAAGCCATTGATGACAGGGGCTAATCTAGTGATGGCGGCCACGTGAGCAGCATCTCGGTCGAGCAGAAGGGCGGTCAGGCCAGAGGTACGACGATGATGTCGTTGTTGTAGAAATCGTCCATTTGAGGCGAGGTTGGTGCCGCATCTCCGTGCCGCTCCGAGCACTCGCTCGGCGGCAGGAGAGGATGCTGCACAACGCAACATGACCTTCGAGAGGAGAGGGAGAGCGAATACAACGCGGGAGAACCGAGGGACTGGGGTGACCAAGAGAGCCGAAGAGCAGCAGTACAGAGTTCTAGTACAGAGCCGCGCAGAGAGCAAGAGAGCAGACAGCACAGCAACAAACAGCAGCCCGTGGGGCCGTGGCGGCGACGCGAAATCATGGAGATACTACGGGGCCCCCATGCTTGCAGCAACGGTCCCGAGTCACCCATCCATCGTCTCCGTGTAGAATAAAACCTACGAGAGCAGTCCTCCCTCTTTCTCTCTGCTGCTGCGAACAGGCCGTCCCCCAGCCTGTGGCCTTCATCGGAAAGGGGTTCATTACCAAAGCGGCAGAGCCCCCGGGGATCGTCGCGATGGTCTCGAATCTTCGCAAGGTGCGGGCTGTGCGCCGCTTGTCCTATGCTGTGTGCTGTTTTTCTGAAAAAAGTCGAAAAATGCAGACCCGTGGAAAATGCAGATGACCCGACGTTGTCATCATCATGGTTGCTTGCTGTCCCTCCGACCTTCTTGTGCTTCCTACTATGTACTTCTGTAGCTCGCCCCCTCACACGCGTGCAGCATCTCGCATTCGAAATCAGGGCGAGGTGCGTTGGGGCTGTTCCGCAGGCAAGAAGAAACAGGCCCGAGCGAGCATGGCATACTGCTGCTGTACAATATCATGCTGTCATATGATCCCACGTACCACATTTCTACCAATTTCCAAACTTTTTCTGTCAATGACCCGGAATCGAGAGGAGTCCTTCCGGACCTCCGCCGCCCTTACACCGACCCCCGCGTTTTCGCCGCCCGCGTGATGCTCATCTCTGTCCACAGCTCGCCGGCGCCGGCAGAGGCGGAGCAGTGGTCGTCCCCTCCGGTGAGGTTGCAGAGTTGTCACGCTTGCTTGCCTCCAAGAATTTGAACGATGCTGAAAAAATCGGAATTTTGAAGAGTTTAGGCGCAAAGTGTCCCCGCCCTTCCGTTGTTGTGGGGCCCAATGCAACAAAAGTCTGCTACTTGTACGGACCTGTTCCGAAACATGATGGCGACCGCCGTACTTCGTGCCAAGCTTGCGCACCGAGATCCACGAGAGAGGTTTCCAATGGCACGTCTTTTGCGGCTCATCGAGAAACGAGTAGCGATTATTGTATTGATCGAAGTGGGTTAGCAGTCAGCAGCCCCCGCCGGCACTTTCGTCCCCTCTCCCCAAATACTGTAGCAAGAGTTGAATTCCCGCCGCACTCAGAACACAATTTTCGGCGCCCTACATTGTATGCCGTGTGTGTGCACTGGCGGCCACGAACACGGTGTAGCTTACTTACACCCACAAGCGTTTATTATGTAGTAGTGAAGGCATGCATGGCAGCGTAGATGTGCCTTTCGCAGGTCGTTGGGGGTGAACAATATTTAGAGTATGTAGATGGACGCTCGTTTCGTGTGTGATCGATTTGATTTGAGACCGAAAAACGGCCATCGGAGTTTTCTATGCACAGCGCATGCATGAGGAAAAGGTGTAGGAGGCGTGTGTAGCAGCTCCATCGGGCGGCACGCGCAGGCCTTACTAGGCAACGAATCGCAAAAAAGTGGTAACCAATACCCTTCAAGAACATTAGGGACATGCGTAGCCAGACGCAAATGAACGATTTGAGATGTCGTTACAATACTTTTCTGCTTTCGGTAAGTATGATACATGCAGCAGGAATAATGTAAAAATACACAGAGCGCATACATTGTAGACTAAATAGATGCATTGCAGAGATGCCTCACCCGCTGGACCGATTTTCAAAGCTCGATTTTACCCCACGCCACGACGAAGAGGATGCCGAAGGCAAAACGAAGCGCTTTCGGCAAGCTCTCGACAAGACGGTTGGTTCCATCGCCACCATTTTGGGGCGCACTCACCGTCACACTGCTTTTCCTGCCGAGAGATCGAGCCTTGAAAATCGCTTTAAGTAGGGGGTGTGATATTTCTCATGTGCTACAATACACGGACGGTATCGTCACTGGTTCGAGGTTCAACCCAGGTTTTCCCGGACGGCGCCGGGTTATGTGCGACGCAAAGAGGACACTGAAAAACTTTGATGATACATACATATAACTAATAGGTGTGGCTGTTGGCTTGCCATGGTACTCATGAGATTCGTTGTTTTTTGGTTCCGTGGGCAATAGTGCTGCGGACGCGGGGGAGCTATAATAGCTGCACTGACAACATGTTCAATCATTCAGCTTGTTGGCGGTTGCGCACTTGCTTTCTTCGCTTTCGCTACTAGCAGAGGGCAACGGGCCCTAAAAATTGGGCTGGACCCCTACCCACGGCGTGTGTATTTGGCCGCCCTTGGCTTACAGCGCTGTGTACGTCTCACTTGTCTCTGTTTCTGGGGTGCGTCTGTTGTGGAAGCAAAGATCGGCCGGCAGACGAAGAGACCGCAGACAGAGATCTCACTTGTGTGCACTCGCATGTTCCCTCGCTTACGCTGCCAGCAGTAGGCCTCGGGGTCTAAAAATAGCTTCCGACGCCAGCCATGATGTGTGCCTTTGGCCGGCCTTGGCCTACATACAGCAGTGTGTAGGCCTCGTTTTCTCTGTTGTGGGGATGCGTCTGTGCGGGAAGCTCCAAAGATCGGTAGGTTGAGGGTGATGCAGACGGACCGCGGGTTGACTTGCGTCGTCACTCGCTTGTGCTGCCGACAGCAGGCAACGGGCTGCAAGAGTCATACCCAACGCCTCCCATGATGTATGCCTTTGGCTGCCCTTGGCCTACAGCGGTCCATATGCTGCTGTGCTGGTTGTATCGTATGTTGTCTACGTGATGTGTATGGTTCTGCTGTGCAACAGAATTTCGGTGATTCTGCCGAGAGCGTCTTGCCCATCGCCCAATCATCTGTCTCTGTCGTACAAAATGTCTTACAAACTCGACGGGTGATTGGTGGGAGATAGGCATCTACCCGGCTCTACCCCTCTAAAACATAGATAATTGTTGGAAGTTCTTCCCTATCTTACAAAATAATTGCCCTATTTATGGGTGCTCTGCCACTATTTAGTATTTAATACTTCTCCTAGGGCTGGCTCGCGTTCCGAGGCCCATGGGACGATTATCCTCCTTTCCCTCCATGTGTCTTGTGTGTCCCGAAGTCATGGGGGAAAACCCTGGTGTGCGAACGGTGCTCGGAGCATTTACGGGCAGAAAGTTGTTGTCGTTCGTGGTTCACTGGCGGAAGTAGGTTCGATAGATAAGTGTTCGTTGTTCTGTCTTCTCCTGGAGTGTCTCTCCCATCGGGAGCAAATTCCGTGGTCACTGGCGCCAAGCAGTGGTGAAGGTCCGATTTTTTCCAAAAAGTGTTCGTTGTACATACCGGTATGTATTTGCACATCAGTGTTGTCTTCTCTCTTGAACTAGATGATGAAATCCGGGACTTGTTGCTGGTTGGTCAGAGGGACGCATTCCCTAAGAACACGTGCAATGCACTATAATGCGAACACTTTTGAACCTACTTTGCGCCAGTGACCGCGAAACACTGTAGCAAACTTTTGTGTCCCAGAGGCTAGCTCCGAGCCCCCCCCCCCCCCTTCACACTTTTCTAAACATGGAGTTTAGTACCGAAGAGCAAAGCCGGAGCATGAACAATGCGGCCTGACTTGACCTATCGACCTTACCTAGCTGTCGGTGCTGTTTTCTACACACGGCGCTCGTTTGAACGACCAACTGGTTGCGCTCGCAACAGCGATACATACTGCTGGCGGCCCCAATTTTTCAACGACGCTGCCCCTCTTTCACCCATCCCCACGCGCACTCCCTCCACCAGGAAACAGCAGCAGCAGCAGCAGCAGAAGCACGGGGGGCGCTTGCAAAGCGATGTCGTCCTTTTCGCAGCAGCAGCACAGGCCACCATCCTACGCCTGCTCGGTAACTCCGCCCATGTCGCTCCCCTCGAGAGGCTGGGGGGACACCGGGTCGGAAGGTTCGCGCGGGAGCCGCTACCTGTCCGACTTCTCCTGCCTCTCCAGCAACACGAGCGGCTCCAACTGCAGCAGCAGCAGCAGCAGCAGCAGCCACGGCAGCCACGGCAGCGTTGCTGTTGCGCAGCAGGGCTGCGACGGCGTCGGCGGCGGGGCTGGTGGCGTGCGGCAGCAGAAGCAGGAGCTAATGCGGTTCAAGCCCCCTGACGGTTTCAGCTCTGCCGAGGAGGAGACCTGGGGCTCGGAGGGGGAGGTGAGAGCGGCCCCAATCGACAACGGAGTCGGGGAGCAGCAGAGCCTGTGCGCTGGCCTGGTGGAGGAGTCGGTTGCCGTCTCTGAGCTCCGTTATACTGTTGCATATTTCTGTTTTTGAGTGAACCTGAAGTTGTTTTCCCCCCATGATGTTGTTGCGCTACCGCTACCAAGCTCTTTTGCCTTCGTGCTACATATACCACGTTTTGTACCCCCGGCGCCAAGATTTATGTCGACTTGGTAAGTCAAATCCTAGATTCCGTATCGCACCGATCCCAACAACAACGTGGTAAGTCAAATCCTGGATTCCGTATCGCACCGATCCCAACAACAACTTACTGAGTCAAATCCTGGATTCCGTATCGGACCGATCCCAACAACAAACAACTTGCGACAGCCTACTGTGCACACTGCGTGCTTTGCCCGCATTGCTCCTGCACCCCTCCCCCTCCCACCTCATCCCGCCTTTCCTTCCGTGTTTCCAGATCGAAGAAACCACCGTCGCGGGACGGCGACGCGCCTTGGTTACCGGCGGCCCCAGCAGACACCACCACAGCGCCAACAACAAGGCCATCATGGCCAATGGCGAGGAAGAGGAGGACGGGGAGTCCAGGGGTCTTCTTGTCGGCGGAGGCGTTTCTAGAACGGCATCGGCGGCGGCGCCCGTCGGCGGCGGCATTGGAGGCAGGAGGAGAAAGGCAGCGGTGGGCGCGGGCAGGGCCAAACGGCGACCATCTCTCGGAGCCGGCGGAGGCTGCTGCGAAGCGTCAGGCCGCGGTGGTGGCGGTGGCAGAAGCACCGCTCACTGCCGACAGCAGGGTGCAGGGGGAGCGACAGCAGGGCGGGAAAGCGGCAAGGAGGAGGAGGGGCTTGTTGGTTCGCCCGGGGGTGGTAGTGGTGGTAGTCGTCGCCCTGTCAAGGTGTCGAGGTCTCTTTTCATTGAGATCGAGAACAAGGCCTCCGAGCCGCCGCGAAGACCCGCCGCGGGCAGCAGGCGGCGACGCCACCGAGCTTCCTTGCTGGGAAACTTGCCGCGCGCGCGGTTTCTGGGGAGGGTTGATGCGGCGGGCGAGGACGCTGACGACGAGGGGGAGCGCTCGGATGGTGAGTCCGGAGGGGGGGGGGGGGGGGGGGGTTGATCTCGCGCGAACGAGGCCTCGATATTCAAAAGGAAAGGAAATTTCGTATCCTGTCATCATGCCTGTAGAGTTCATACTTCATGGCAGCAACAACAACAGCCCGAG